ACAATCACGCCCTTGCCAGAGGAGCACAAGCTAGAAATGGTTTATGGACTCCTTCACCATAGAATAAGGGAAAAACTTCCTCGACATAGTTTCCAGAACTTTTCGGAGCTGATCGACAAATGCAGAGCAATCGAATCCAGCCTTGCTGAATCCAACGTAAAAGTGACTTCCACGTTTGTTGCAAAAAATCTTAAAGACGTGTGCATTTTGCAAAGCATATGGACAGTCCGATCCAGTAATCCGTCCTCCACAAATGTAACATGTTATGGTTGCGGTAATCCAGGATATATTCGTTCCAATTGTCCTCAATGTAAACCTGCACCAACAACCAATTCCTCTGTCGAAATGCTCGCTGCTGATATCGGTGAACCTTCCAGTTTGTTATCAACGTTTGATGGTCCGCCTTCAAGACCCATGATACCTGTCATCATTCAAAGTAAATCAGGTTTTGCTTTTGTGGATTCCGGAGCAAGATGCAGTATTGCAGGTTCAAAGTTGTTGAGCCACTTAGATGCTATTCAGCATCCATTCAAGACTGCTCCAATAAAACTGGTATACCCCGAGAAGTTGAAGCAAAGATGTACAAGTGTTCCATCGAAGTTATGAATAAACAACGAAAACTGCAAATGATTGCTGTTGCAGACTACAGAGATATTAAGACTTTACTTGGTATTGATTTCATATCACAATTTGATATAGTGCTCAATATACCTAGGAAGATATACTATTTCAATGATGATCCAAGCAATTCCTTGCCATTACAGGATGAAGTTATTGATTCCTTTGCAGTTTTATCTGTTGTTGACGGGAATGATTTGTCGTTGCCGACTGTTTCCAATATTGAAGAAGGGACATTGAAATCGTTGTTGGAACATAACAAGGATTTGTTCGATGAAAATACAGGAGTTACCCCATATGGTGAGCATACCATCATCCTCATTGATGATATTCCAATAGCTGCACCACCATATCGATTATCTCCTGCGAAGAAAACAGTTTTGCGTCAAGAGCTTAACAAACTTCTTGCCAGCGATATCATTGAAGAGAGCGAATCGCCGGACGCATTTCCAGTTGTCCTTGTACCGAAGAAAGACGGAACTTCACGTCTTTGTGTTGACTATCGCCGACTGAATGCTATCACCAAGAATGTTCGTTACCCGTTGCCTCGTATAGATGACCTTATCCATTCAACTGGAAAAGCTAACTACATAACCACCTTAGACCTGAAGAGTGGTTATCATCAAGTACCTGTCAGAGAAGAAAGCCGCCTTTGTCACGCCATTTGGACTTTATAAGACGATGCCTTTTGGTCTATCCACAGCTCCAGCAACGTTTCAAAAGCGGATCAACCGTTTTTGTTCAGGTTTGCCGCATATCCAGATATTAGGATATCTTGATGACAATAATTTTATCCACGACTTTTGAACAACACATCAAAGACTTGAGTGATGCTTTCAACCGTCTACGCATTTACAAATTGAAGGTGAACAAGAAGAAATGCATACTTTCTGTACTTCAGAAGTTAAATATGTTGGTCATCTTATTGGACGAGATGATATCAAAGTCGGCCGGGAAAAGGTTGCCGCTATCACCCATTTTGCCGCACCCAAGAAAGTGAAACAAGTTCTCAGTTTTCTTCAGGCTTGTTCATGGTTCTGTAGATTCATTCTAAACTTTGCCAATGTCTCCAGATCGCTAAGTAACTTGACAATTTAAAGTAATAAAATAGTGTCTCTCAATTTTCTCTAGAAGATTTTAACCAGAGTATATATTATAACTTTAGAACCGAGTTTTAAAAAGTTTGTCAATAGTTATATGGAAGTTGGCCAAGAAGTTTGCTGCACTAGAAAACTTAATCAGTCGTCAGTCGGTGTTTAGAAAAAGAGTTTGTTCGTTAGAGAACACTTATTGCTTCAATTTAATCAAAAGCTAAAATATAAAATTCCTATAAGGAGGTGCACAAACATTTAACAAAAGATAACATGAACAATTAAGGCCATTAGGGCCTGGGCGATGGGATTTCTTAATTACATTGCTCGCCTTGAGTTTCAGGAAATGGGGTGTCATGATAATTTTGTTCTGTTATCTTCCAGAAACTTCGTCGACCTTAATCAGAAATTCAATTTGAAGCAAGGATGCCGTATTTAACTCTAAATAATATATTTACTTGTTTAAATGAATTAAAACATGCTTTCTAATGGAAACTATCGTCCCTTTAGGTTACACCAACAGGTGAATTATTCAGCTCTTTCAGAATGTTTCAACTAAATTCAACTGACATTACTGCGATATCTTTGTCGAGAAAAGTCGAGCATCAAAATATTACAATAAGAGAAGTAAAAAATATACGAACTTTCCAAAGGAAAGTTTCAAGAAATTCTTAACACACAGACATCAAAACTTTTCCAACTCAGAAATTCAATATTTGCATATACTACATCAAGTCAAACGAAATTAACCTCTCGGAATATAATATCCGATTCCACAAGTATAAACATGGTACATCCGATACCATCTATCATTTCCGATTTTCCCTGTTGCTGTTTTCCGGGACCGTTTTCCGCCGCCGCCGGGACATTTTCCTCTTTGTCCTTTTTCCCCGAGGGTTGAATATTCCCATAAATAAAGTTGAGAGTTTCATCGGACCTGATGCAGCAGTAGTAGTAGTGTATTTTATTCGGCCAGATGTTGTGTAAAACGGGATAAAATGAAAATCCCTTTCGGAATCTTCTGCGGATGAAAGTTTTCGTTAACGTTATCCGGAACTCTTATATTTGATGCAGCTTTTATGATGTGTTGTTAATAACTATAAAGCCAGATATATTATGTTGTATATGATAATTATTAGTAGGAGATTGTAGCCTTTCCCACCACGAGCCTTATTATATTAGTAAGTGAAAATAAATAGACTGTTTACACTTTCTGTAAGACAATGTATCGTTATTATTTAGTCCAATCCATTATGGCTTAGTAATCAAAGAATAAATCTCGTAGAAACAGAGCCGATTTTAAAGTATATTTTGAAAATACTTGTCATTAAGAATTAAACAGGAATAGAAGAAGGTTTATTTTCGGTCCAACGACAAAACTAGGCTAAACTAAAGGGATTAATGACTATAAGTAAGACGCCTCGTTGGCGGCTTTTAATTTTTATTGAGCTATTTTTATAGTTTTACATAAAAAAAAAGTTGAAAGACTTCTAATTAAATCTGGATCCGGAGATAATTCATAACATAACCTGCTTCAATGTAAATAAGGTGGATGACAAGAGATTTCTAACACTTTGATAATTAGTAGTCGACATCCGTCCAGGCTAAGATTAGTCTTTGTTTTTAATGTTGGGCAATCTAAAGATCTGCCTAATGACACTGGATAATTAATGAGGTCCAATAGTTGTAGTAGTAGTAGTATATTTGCTAGAATTTCATTGGTTTTATTGTATTGAAAGCCTTTATCCATTGGAGTTTTCTTTGGCTTACAGTCCTTCATATTGAAATGATTCAAAAGTTTTTCTATGAATCTTTCCTGATCAATTTTAACTACATCCTTTTTCCTAGTTATGTTCATTCCCAAAAATCTTGTAATTTCATTCAAATCTTTAGCATGAAACTGTTGTTACAATAATTTTACCACTTGATCTAAACTGTATTTTTTTCCAAGATATGATTATAGTTATATGATTAACAGTTCTCAGAATGTGGTTGACCGTTCTTTGGAAAACGGCGGGAGCATTCACCAATCCGAATGGCATACGCAAATATTCGTACTGCCTATCTGGAGTAACTGGTTTCTGTCGATGTGGATAAGTGTGAAACCTACCAAAGAATAGAGCGACTTCAAAGAAACAAATTTATTAAGTAGCAGTTAGATGTTGTGTGCTTCAATTGGCAGGACTATCTCAACAATAAAGATAATATAGCCGAAAAACTGGAGGAGTCATAGTCCTAATAAGAACTAACATTAAACATAAAATCAGGATAGTGTAGTGTGTCCAGAACTATGTATGGTTGTTGATATCTTTTGAACTAGGCTCAGCAAAGTATATTGAGTGATTTCAATTTTGATATCTTGAAGAATTGTTTCTATGGGAATAAATCGTTAAAAACTGTTTAATTGACCATTAGGATGCAAAATCTCAACAAAAAAAAAAATGAAATTTCATCGTTTTAGTAAGAAGGTAAACTTATGATTTAGATTTTGAAAAACTTTGAAAGGTCATAACTTTTTTTCTATTTAAGATAGAGAGCTGAAATTTTCAGCGATTCTTATCCCAGTAGAGGACTACAATCCCTGGAAATTTCAACTCATTTAGACTTATAGTTCCTGAGATAAAATCGTGTTAAGCAATTTGGGGTGATTTATCAATTTTTCAATTTTTCTGAGTGCCTTTTTTCATAGATTTCGGCTCCAAATCTGAGAATAATTTAGTATATGAAGTTTGGGAGATCACAAATGACCATTAGGACACAAAATCTTCACAAAAAAAATTTGAAATTTCATCGTTTTAGTAGGAAGATACCTACCTTATGATTTAGATTTTGGAAAACTTTGAAAGGTCATAACTTTTTTCTATTTAAGATAGAAAGCTGAAATTTTCAGCGATTCTTATCCCAGTAGAGGACTACAATCCCTGGAAATTTCAACTCATTTGGACTTATAGTTCCTGAGATAAAATCGTGTTAAGCAATTTGGGGTGATTTATCAATTTTTCAATTTTTCTGAGTGCCTTTTTTCATAGATTTCGGCTCCAAATCTGAGAATAATTTAGTATATGAAGTTTGGGGGATGTTAATTGACCATTAGGATACAAAATCTCAACAAAAACAAATTTGAAATTTCATCGTTTTAGTAGGAAGGTACCTTATGATTGTTACAGCTATCTAATTTAACGATTTATAATTGTTATTCAAATATTATGACAATTTGACAAAAGTAACATTACTCATAATAAGTATTGTATAAATTTTTATTATTATTCATAAATTTAGACACAAGGTAACATTTTTGTAATAAAACTGAGCTTAAAATGTCTTTTGCTCAATTGAAAATACAAAATAGATATGTACATCAAAAGTAGTGAACAAACTTTGGAATGATCAACACTAAAATAAGTGTCTGTCACAAGCACCCATTTCCCCAACATCCGCACCAAGGAACCTTGCCATTGAGCGGTACATTGGAAATAGTGGACATTTTCCTAGGGTTTTCGTGCGAATCACAAGACGACCCACTGTTAGACCGTTCCCGATCACTATAATCCTCATATATAAAGGTACCATAACCCAAACCTGCACCATTCATAGCAGATCTGTCAGTACAAATCGAATAGGAGCGTTCCCTTGTACGATGATCCATTGTGGAACCACGTCTTAGTATTCTGGATCCTCCAGAACGTTCTCGTCGTTGTTTTTTGTGTTTCTTTTGTGCTAGAAAAAAAAAATTAGATGAGTGATGATACTCTGAATCAAGAAAATATACTTATTCAAAATACTCTGTAATGAACAATTATTCTTATCCATTGAATTAATTATTACGCAGGTGCCATGCATTGCTCATGTCCCATGCATTGCTCATGTCCCACAAATCAACATTAAAATGTTGGTGGGTAGAATAATTAATTGTCGGAATTAAATGCTTCCTCGTGTATAGAGATTGATTGACACATTAATTTATTTTCACCCTCACGAATATGAATTCAGCGTGTGTTATTTGAGTAAATTATGTGCGGGCACATTTTGCTTTTTTAAAATGTTTAAAACTAGTAATTTATCAAGCCGACAATCCAATTCTAGCGCAATTTTAGGCAACGTATTTCTATATAAAGCCCGAACTGTCCTAATAATGGGCCCTTTTGTAAAACCACCATCTGGCGCTGCTGGTTTGGGACGTAGCCCTTGTTCTATTAATTCTACGGGGACTTTGATTAATCGTTCTAGTTTTCTTAGATGTTGAATGGTTTTGGCGTTAAGCTGGAAATTATTTGCTGATTACGACTTTTTGAATATATTATCGATATCTAGAATGTGGAAGGCACTACTGAGAACTGTGACACTTAAAGATAGTAAAATAAATTTTCATTAAAACTTATCAGAAACATCTAAATCCTGAAATGTCCAGATAATGAATTTATAGAGATAGTTGCCGACAGAGGCAATTGAAAACGTTGAAATCTTGAGAAAATTTATCAAGCTTAGTAGAGAAAAGTAAGACAAATGGGGGAAAGATTGACTACTAGCAATTGGATGGATTTTAAGCTTAATTTCAGAAGAATTGTACTAATACAGAAATACGAATAATACCTACAATCAGTTAACAGATGAACATGTTTGACTCTATCTGGACTGACCGATTGACTTTTCCTGCTCTTCCTCTCCTCCTTTTTACTTTCCTTTTTATCCATTACAGTTTTGCGATCGCTTTCCGAAGAATTTGGCGTTTTCGGATCGAAATTCGACGTTTCGGTGGTCGATTTTTTCGATTCGATACTGGGAGTCTTCTGATGGTGAGCAACTTTGTCGTTTTTGTCTTTAGATTTTGGTGGCGATTCTGGTTTGTCTTTAATTCTGAAATAAATAATCGCTTTTATGCATGTTTTCGATTCTATAGAAGAGATTCTGTCCAAAGATATTGCGCTCGAAATATTTCCTTATTAATTATTCGGAATTTTGATTCATTATTGATTTATACGTATATTTAAACGAGATGTAGGATCCACAATCAAACTGTAATTCACTATTCCATATATCAATCTCTTACGGATTTCAAGATATTGGAGCTTAAAGATTTTGAAATAAAATTCCAAAGGGGATAACCTTTTAAAAAAACCTCGGAACTACTATATTGTTAATTCTTACCAAGGGGCAAACCGCCAAGGAATTCTTTGCCAAAAAATGTGGAGAATTTAGAGGAATTTATGGGAAATTTAGAGGAATTTGGGGGGAATTTGAAGGAACTCATCGGAATTTATGAGAATTTGGGGAATTTATAGGGAATTTGAAGGAATTTATGGGGAATTTGAAAGAATTTGTGAGGAATTTAAAGGAAATTGTAGGGTCATGACATCACTGAGGTTCACATTCCTATTATAAGAAATAGTAATAAATAGAAATTTTAAAAAAAATCTAGCATATTCATTTTTATTGAAGAAATCCTCCCAAAATTACACTACATGATTTACAGGTCCAAATTTAAAAAACTCAAAAGAATAAGGAATACAGTTTTTGTAGGGTGATTTTTGGGATTTTTCATGTTGTTATTTTCCACTGAAAAAATTTAAAATTTTGGGAAAATGAGCTCCTCACCTTCCTCTTTACATGCGAAAAGTTTCAAAATTTTCCCTTCTCTAGTTTTCCAGGAAAACTTTGAAATATGTGAGACTGTATTTTCAACTAATTCAGTTTGTGTAGGTTGATTTCCGAGATTTTTCATGTTGCTGTTTTCCACTGGAAAAATTTGAAATTTTGGGAAAATGAGCTTTTCACCTTCCTCTTTACATGCAAAAAGTTTCAAAATTTTCCCTTCACTAGATTTCCAGGAAAACTTTGAAATGTGTGAAACTGTATTTTCAACTAATTCAGTTTTTGTAGGTTGATTTTCAAGATTTTTCATGTTGCTGTTTTCTACTGGAAAAATTTGAAATTTTGGAAAAATGAGCTTCACCTTCCTATTTACATACAAAAAGTTTCAAAATTTTCCCTTCTCTATTTTTCCAGGAAAACTTTGAAATATATGATACTGTATTTTCAATTAACTCAGTTATTGTAGGTTGATTTCCAATATTCCTTATGTTGTTATTTTCCACTGGAAAAATTTGAAATTTTGGGAAAATGAGCTTTTCACCTTTCTCTTTACATGCAAAAAGTTTCAAAATTTTCCCTTTACTAGTTTTCCAGGAAAATTTTGAAATGTGTGACACTGTATTTTCAACTTATTCAGTTTTTGTAGGTTGATTTCCAAGATTTTTCATGTTGCTGTTTTCCACTGGAAAAATTTGAAATTTTGGAAAAATGAGCTTCTCACCTTCCTCTTTAAATGCAAAAAGTTTCAAAATTTTCCCTTTACTAGTTGTCCAGGAAAACTTTGAAATGTGTGAGACTGTATTTTCAACTAATTCAGTTTTTGTAGGTTGATTTCCAAGATTCCTCATGTTGTAATTTTCTACTGGAACAATTTGAAATTTTGGGAAAATGAGCTTCTCGCCTTCATCTTCACATGCAAAAAATTTCAAAGTTTTCCCTTCACTAGTTTTTCAGGAAAACTTTGAAATGTGTGAGACTGTATTTTCAATTAATTCAGTTATTGTAGGTTGATTTCGAAAATTTTTCATGTTGCTGTTTTCCACTGGAAAAATTTGAAATTTTGGAAAAATGAGCTTCTCACCTTCCTCTTTAAATGCAAAAAGTTTCAAAATTTTCCCTTTACTAGTTGTCCAGGAAAACTTTGAAATGTGTGAGACTGTATTTTCAACTAATTCATTTTTTGTAGGTTGATTTCCAAGATTTCTCATGTTGTAATTTTCTATTGGAAAAATTTGAAATTTTGGGAAAATGAGCTTCTCGCCTTCATCTTCACATGCAAAAAATTTCAAAGTTTTCCCTTCACTAGTTTTTCAGGAAAAGTTTGAAATGTGTGAGACTGTATTTTCAACTAATTTAGTTTTTGTAGGTTGATTTCCAAGATTCCTCATGTTGTAATTTTCTACTGGAAAAATTTGAAATTTTGGGAAAATGAGCTTCTCGCCTTCCTCTTCACATGCAAAAAATTTCAAAGTTTTCCCTTCTCTTGTTTTCCAGGAAAACTTTGAAATGTGTGAGACTGTATTTTCAACTAATTCAGGTTTTGTAGGTTGATTTCCAAGATTTTTCATGTTGCTGTTTTCCACTGGAAAAATTTGAAATTTTGGAAAAATGAGCTTCTCACCTTCCTCTTTACATGCAAAAAGTTTCAAGATTTTCCCTTTACTAGTTGTCCAGGAAAACTTTGAAATGTGTGAGACTGTATTTGCAACTAATTCAGTTTTTGTAGGTTGATTTCCAAGATTCCTCATGTAATTTTCTACTGGAAAAATTTAAAAATTTGGGAAAATGAGCTTCTCATCTTCCTATTTACATGCAAAAAGTTTCAAAATTTTCCCTTCACTAGTTTTCCAGGAAAACTTTGAAATATGTGATACTGTATTTTCAATTAATTCAGTTATTGTAGGTTGATTTCCAAAAAATTTTTCATGTTGCTGTTTTCCACTGGAAAAATTTGAAATTTTGGAAAAATGAGCTTCTCACCTTCCTCTTTAAATGCAAAAAGTTTCAAAATTTTCCCTTAACTAGTTGTCCAGGAAAGCTTTGAAATGTGTGAGACTGTATCTGCAACTAATTCAGTCTTTGTAGGTTGATTTCCAAGATTCCTCATGTTGTAATTTTTTACTGGAAAAATTTGAAATTTTGGGAAAATGAGCTTCTCGCCTTCCTCTTCACATGCAAAAAATTTCAAAGTTTTCCCTTCACTAGTTTTTCAGGAAAACTTTGAAATGTGTGAGACTGTATTTTCAACTAATTTAGTTTTTGTAGGTTGATTTCCACGATTCCTCATGTAATTTTCTACTGGAAAAATTTGAAATTTTGGGAAAATGAGCTTCTCGCCTTCCTCTTCATATGCAAAAAATTTCAAAGTTTTCCGTTCACTTGTTTTCCAGGAAAACTTTGGAATGTGTGAGACTGTATTTTCAACTAATTCAGTTTTTGTAGGTTGATTTCCAAGATTTTTCATGTTGCTGTTTTCCACTGGAAAAATTTGAAGTTTTGGGAAAATGAGCTTCTCAGCTTCCTCTTTACATGCAAAAAGTTTCAAAATTTTCCCAGCACTATTTTTTCAGGAACACTTTGAAATATGTGATACTGTATTTTCAATTGATTCAGTTATTGTAGGTTGATTTCCAATATTCCTTATATTGTTATTTTCTACTGAAAAAAATTGAAATTTTGGGAAAATGAGCTTTGCACCTTCCTCTTTACATACAAAAAGTTTCAAAATTTTCCCTTTATTAGTTTTCCAGGAAAACTTTGAAATGTGTAAGTCTGTATTTTCAATTAATTAAGTTATTGTAGGTTGATTTCCAAGATTTTTCTTGTTGCTGTATTCCACTGCAAAAATTTGAAATTTTGGAAAAATGAGCTTCTCACCTTCCTCTTTACATGCAAAAAGTTTCAAAGTTTTCCCTTTTTTTTTGAGAAATTTGTAGGGTATTTGGAGAAGTTTGTGGTGGGCTATTTGGAGGAATTTGTGATGGGGTATCTGAAGAAATTTGCAGTAATTTTGAGGAATTATGCGTAAAAAATTCTTCTTTAGGGAATTGTTTGCACCAATTCTGGGATGGTGGTTTATCCCTTGATTCTTACTTGAAATCAAATACAATGTATTTTCAACTAATTCAGTTTTTGTAGGTTGATTTCCAAGATTTTTCATGTTGCTGTTTTCCACTGGAAAAATTTGAAGTTTTGGGAAAATGAGCTTCTCAGCTTCCTCTTTACATGCAAAAAGTTTCAAAATTTTCCCAGCACTATTTTTTCAGGAACACTTTGAAATATGTGATACTGTATTTTCAATTGATTCAGTTATTGTAGGTTGATTTCCAATATTCCTTATATTGTTATTTTCTACTGAAAAAAATTGAAATTTTGGGAAAATGAGCTTTGCACCTTCCTCTTTACATACAAAAAGTTTCAAAATTTTCCCTTTATTAGTTTTCCAGGAAAACTTTGAAATGTGTAAGTCTGTATTTTCAATTAATTAAGTTATTGTAGGTTGATTTCCAAGATTTTTCTTGTTGCTGTATTCCACTGCAAAAATTTGAAATTTTGGAAAAATGAGCTTCTCACCTTCCTCTTTACATGCAAAAAGTTTCAAAGTTTTCCCTTTTTTTTTGAGAAATTTGTAGGGTATTTGGAGAAGTTTGTGGTGGGCTATTTGGAGGAATTTGTGATGGGGTATCTGAAGAAATTTGCAGTAATTTTGAGGAATTATGCGTAAAAAATTCTTCTTTAGGGAATTGTTTGCACCAATTCTGGGATGGTGGTTTATCCCTTGATTCTTACTTGAAATCAAATACAGATGATTTTCGTCCCTCTTGAGCACTTTTCGAACTGGTACTTTTCGATTCGGAACTGCCGCCACCTGTTGCCAACTTTTTCAATTTTTCTTTCTCCTTTTTGCCCTTAAAATGTATAGAAACCTTCCTGGTTATACTCATTTTCGGCGATTTCGGCGGTGGTTCCGCTTTGCTGTCAGACTTTGATGTTTTCAATTTGATATTTTCGTTATTTTCCATTGGTTTTGAAGTATCGATTTCTTGAGTACCTAAAATGCAAATTTAATTGATAATATAATTAAATTAATTATAAATCAATACCTGCTATGTCCCTTTTATCCCCTTCCTGCTCCTCTTTCTGAATAAAATTATCCGGATTATACCTCCTACTGAAATAATCCGAATTCACATAGTTGTCATTCAAATTACCAAAGAAAAAGGGATTGGATTCTTTGCTAGCAGAATCTGATTTTCCAGTAAAATTTGCTGGATCGTTTTCCATTGTCACATTGAGATTTTGCCTGGACGAGTCTCTGGATAATTCTGTTTCGCCTGTGTTTGGTGGAATTAGGCACAAGTTTTGTTGGGAAGCAGACATCGACTCTAAATGCTCAAAACTCCTAAAATAAAATAATACTTTTTATAAAATCAACCAAAACTTCATTAATCACCTTTGCATGTTTTTATATTTATCAAACCCAATAAGTGGCATAGCTTTAGGCATAAGCACAACATTGAGTTCGCTTTTATGTAATCTTTCCTGGCTCCCGCTCAGTCCTTCCATCAAATGATCCATAACTGGATTTTGCGAATAAGTCAAATCGCGCCCTTGCAATTCTGGATTGAAAAAGTCCGGATTCACCATGCCGGAGGGTTGCTGATGCGGATTGGGGAGGCCCCTCTGGAAATCGGATAGCTTCAGTATATCCTGGATGGTGAAAAGGTGTATTTTCGTTGTTCAAGTTTCACTCACTTTTTTTTTTTCAAAATAAATAATTACACTATAACTTACCTGTGAAATAGACTCAATATCGTGTAGCAACTCCTCCAAATTCCCTCCATTGGAAAACGTAGTACTCGGCGTTGTATTGCTATAAGTCAAGTTTTTATTGAAATTTTGATTGTCGATTTTCACAATTAGATCAGTAGCTTTTTTCTCCATTGTTGTAGCTTCTGGCTGTGGATCGAGGTTCTTTGGCACAAGCACCATATTTTGATAGAAATTATTGGCATTAGTATGGACTATTTTTTTGCTGAAATATATAAAGAGTCTAGTGGAAATAGAGTTGAAGTTTCAGAAAATGATGTTTTTGCATTATGGATAAGATTACAGCACAAAAATAACATGTGCCCTAGATTCTAAAAGCAAACTCCCAGTTTCCGTTCTATTAAATAATGGCGTAATTCTCCGAGAAAAGGGGTTTCAGCGCAACGTCTTTGTTCGGTAAAACTATTTTCTTACCTTAGGAAATTTTCCGCTTCGCAATTGTTATGTTCGGGAAAAACCACCTGCTGGTTATTTTCGTACAAGGGCGTCAGACTTGGGGAGATAGCTATTGGGGGTGTTTGCGAGTCCATAATACCATTTTGACAGGACAGTGGCGGGGTGTAGAAGTCACCCGGGTATAATGGTCCTTGATGAACCTGTAATAAATTATTGCAAATTGAAATCTTAATTAACCAGGTTTGTAGAGAATTTTCAATTTTTCTGAGTGTCTTTTTTCATAGATTCCGGCTCCAAATCTCAGAATAATTTTGTGTATAGAGTTTGGGGGATCCCAAGAGACCATTTAGACACAAAATCTAAACAAACAAAAAAATTGAAATTTTATCGTTCTACTGCTGAGGTTATGATTTAGATTTTGGAGAATTTTGAAAATTCATAATTTATTTTCTATTATAGATAGAAAGCTGAAATTTTCAGCAATTCTTATCCCAGTAGAGTAGACGATTAAAATCCCTGAAAATTTCAGCTCTTTTGTACTTATATTTCCAGAAATAAAATCGTGTTAAGCAATTTAAGGTGATTTATCAATTTTTCAATTTTTCTGAGTGCCTTTTTTCATAGATTTTGGCTCCAAATCTCAGAATAATTTAGTGAATGGAGTTTGAGGGATCACAAATGACCATTAGGACACAAAGTCTCCACAAAAAAAAAATTGAAATTTCATCATTTTAGTATTAGTATTATGATTTAGATTTTGGAAAACTTTGAAAGGTCATAATTTTTTTTCTATTGAAGATAGAAAGCTGAAATTTTCAGCGATTCTTCTTCCACTAGAGGACTACAGTCCCTGAAAATTTCAACTCATTTGGACCTATAGTTCCTGAGATAAAATCGTGTTAAGCAATTTGGGGTGATTTATCAATTTTTCAATTTTTCTGAGTGCTTTTTTTCATAGATTTCGGCTTCAAATCTGAGAACAATTTAGTGTATTGAGTTTGGGGGATGTTAATTGACCATTAGGATACAAAATCTCAACAAAAAAAAAAAATTGAAATTTCATCGTTTTAGTAAGAAGGTATGATTTAGATTATGGAAAACTTTGAGGGGTCATAACTTGTTTTCTATTAAAGATATAAAGCTGAAATTTTCAGCGATTCTTATTGCAGTAGAGGACTTCAATTTCAACTCATTTGGACTTATAGTTAGAGAACTGCTTGCATTGATATGGAGTGATGAAAAATTAGGTTGTTATCTGGAAAATTCGAAATTTACGGTCATCACTAATAATTTTAGCTTGAAATGTCTCCAGAATCTTGAAAATCTACAGGGTCGTTTGGGTGTGTTTAAGGCTTCAACTGTTCGATTTTGGGGTGATACACCGGAAGGAAATTTACTTTGTTCTTTCCGATTCGCAAAGCCAATACTCAGACTATGATTAAAATTCTCGAAGAGAGAATTGATAAGGTGCGATAACGGGGTTTAATTTAGGAGTTTGGATTTCAAAAACTTAAAGTATGATGCAAGAATTCTGGACCTTAACACTACCCCTCCTCCAAAGAATTTACACAGTAAATACACTCGAAGATTTCTTCATGATAAGGCTTCAAGTCTTGTGCATGCCATCGGCCCTTACTCTTGCCTCTCAAATCCTCCAGCTCATAGACACAATAACCACACTTTTTGGAGACTCTCAAAGGACCCTCGAACTTCCAATCCAATTTAGCCGTATGGTAATTACCAGCATCAGACTTTGTGATCTTCTTCCAAACCAAATCACCAACCCCAAAACTGATGTCTTGACGTCTTAAATAGTATTGCTTTTTTGCCTGCTCATGAGCTTTATATATTTTCTTGACGACAGATTCTCTTAGTTCCACCAACAACCTTACCTTATATGGTCATATCAACAGGCAGCGGTTCAGAATCTTATGATTTGGATTTTGGAAAACTTTGAAAGGTCATAACTTTTTTTCTGTCAAAAATAGAAAGCTGAAATTTTCAGCGATTCTTACCCAGTAGAGGACTCCCTGAAAATTTCAGCTCATTTGAACTCATAGTTCCTGAGATAAAATAGTGCTAAGCAATTTGGGGTGATTTATCAATTTTCCAATTTTTCCGAGTGTCTTTTTTCATATAATCTAGCTCCGAATCTGAGAATAATTTAGTGTATGGAGTTTGAGGGATCACAAAGGACCAGTTCGATACAAAATCTAGATAATTTTTTTTTTTTTTGAATTTCATCGTTGTAGTAAGATACCTTATGATTTAGATTTTGGAAAACTTTGAAAGGTCATAACTTTTTTTCTATTTTCAATGATTTTTATCCCAGTAGAGGACTACAATGCATGAAAATTTCAGCTCATTTGCACTTATAGTTCCTGAGATAAAATCGTGTTAAGCAATTTGGGGTGATTTATCAATTTTTCAATTTTTCTGAGTGCCTTTTTTCATAGATTTTGGCTTCAAACCTGAGAATAATTTAGTGTTTGGAGTTTGGGGCATCACAAATGACCATTAGGGCACAAAATCTCCACAAAAAAAAAAATTGAAATTTCATCGTTTTAGTAAGAAGGTACCGAGGGGTGTGACACTTCCTAGTATTTTGAGGTCTATAAACCTAGCAGTCCCAAGGTGGAAAAAAACTTCAGGAACTATATAATAATTAGGTGCTTTTTAGGTGCTAATTAGGGCTTCTAATTAAAAATTAGGTGCTCCTCCAGTTTTTGAGAAAATCAAAAAAAAAAAACTAAGGGACTGCTAGGTTTATAAAAGCTAACTAGAGGAGCACCTAATTTTTAATTAGAAGCCCTAATAAGCACCTAAAAAGCACCTAATTATTATAAAGATCCCGAAGTTTTTTTTGCCATTCTGACACACCAACAAGTAAACGTCAAGCCAGCAGTCCCCTTATAATTAAAAAAAAATCTGTAACTCAGTTAATAATTAATCAATTCTATTTTTTCTTCGACTATTTAAGAACACCCAAAAAGCACCTAATTCTGATACAAAAGAAAATTTTGGAAAAATATTTTTTACTATAGGGGACTACTAGCTTTCATAAACCTAGCAATCCCTTAGTTTTTTTTTTTTTGATTTTCTAAAAAACTAGAGGAGTACCTAATTTTTAATTAGAGGCCCTAATTAGCACCTAATTATTATAAAGATCCCGAGGGGTGCGACACTTCGCTAATATATTGTACACCCTTTGGATAATCGCGGATAATCTATCAATCCACTAATATCTACTAATATCAAGACTAATATTGGTAATATTTCATGACTCTTACAAAATACCTGCTAATTTTATATAATACTAATAATATGAACTAATCTACAAATCCCAAAATAGTTCACTAATTCATATTAATTTTATAATATCGAATAATATTGGACTAATATCTAATAATTTTATAATATTGCTGCGGCAAGAGACATCTATCGACTATATTTGGATTTTTTTTTGCAATCCCAGTCTATGGGTATCTTTCTTTATTCCACAAAAGAAACAAAGACACCAATAGTCACAACTCTTAGGAAAGTTATTGAACGCGTGTGTATTGTGTTCACACTTGTTCGGTGCATTTCGTATTTTGCGGCGTATTATTGATGATCAAATAGATCTAAAAAGAATCAGGAATACCTATTCTTAAGAGTATGTAAACTTTCCACTGACAAAAAAGATTGTAGTTCTCTGTTGTTGGTTCAAGTTAAATGAAAACGGATTGCACTCTTTAGAAGGAAAACATAATTTTGTACAACTTAATAGTTATTTATGTACTGTTCCGGAACCTAAGTTTGAAAATTACAAGCAATATGTACCTATCTGCAGAGTTCGTCGAAATAATTATTGATTTATTTATTGCTGAAAAACCAAGAAATTGAAAAATTCGTGAATCTGAAAAATCATCAAGTGTTTCTATTAAAAAAAGTTTGCCCAGCGGATCTGAGTCTACGGAAGGAATTCGGACGTAAATGTGCCATGTTGCCACGTTTAATTATAAAAAAGCGAAAATACTAAGCATGAAGTATAGTTAATTTGAAAATCCGTTTTTTGATAACAATAATAAAACGCTAAATATTTTAACGTGGTTGTTAGACCTATCCTTATTTTAATCCTGATTTCTTCAGTTTGGTCTATTGTAAAAAATAAACATTTTCTAAAGATACCATCAGCTTTTGACAATTTCGCAAGCATCCGTCCTGGATGAACCTGATTGGTGGAGTTTTTGGCAGGATCGCCGTTGTCATGGGGAACCATACGGTTGTCAAAGAGCTAACGTCACCTTACGTCTCGCTATTGGCCAGGGCTCACGTCATTTTATCCTCCCATCTTGGAATATCGATTTATATTGACATATCCAGTGGCGGAGATTTGGTCATTGCTGATTTTCGTGTACGAGTTGCAATACCATAACACTTCAAAAAAGTTCCGCACGCAGCTGGGTATTTTATGAATGAAATCAGCCATTTTTTTTACTACTGCATTCCCCTTACCGTTGCCCCGTAGACACAGACTCGCTGGGCAGACATGTGTTGATGGTTTTTCAGATTCTAGTGAAGACTTAGATGGAATTGATGACGCAGCTAGTACTGCAAGTTTTGAATCTAATTCAGAACAAAATCCAGTGGAATTGGAAAAATATTATGCTATTTATTGATGACACCTCCTATATTGGCAAAGTCGAGTGAATTCTGGATAATAAAAATATTCAGTTGAAATTCTCAAAACAATCCCTGGATAAGTTTTATTGACCAAAAAAGGTAGAATACCAAAGTCTCGACCAAAGTGTAGTCTAAATTTATTTTTTACATGGTTTAGATATTCGCGTCCTTGGTTTAGAAGTAGTGGATGAAAATAGTGAGGTTTAGGACAAAATTCAAACTCCTGGATTAAAAATTTGCCGACGTTTCGGCCTTATATTAGGCCTTCTTCAGGGCTGAAAGAATAATACACATTATTATTTCCTATCTGCATCCTGAAACATCGCTTTCGACTACAGTTACGATTTAAAAAAAAATGACAATTAGAAAACTAGACAGTTACAAAAATTTCGAAAAAATTCAAAAATTTTCTTCCTTTCCTAACATTCAACATTCAAAAAACAAAAACAAAATAAATATAAGAAACAATAAAAGTACAAACAAATATCAAAATCTTAAAAAACACAAAAGTTAATTAGACTACAGGTAACGAAAT